AGGTATTGTAAAGGGACTCGGCATTTACAGTGGGGTCCCTGATGTTGAGGCCACCAAAACGGACAGGGAGAGAGAAGAGAGTGCGGTCTCGACTAGAAACATTATGACCAATAAGAGCTGGAATGAAAACAGAAGATAGGGAGTCCTCAACAGACTGAAACAGATGACCACAATTAGGAGTGACTCTTTGCAGGTACAACCATTCATTCTGCAAAGACTTAGTCAGGGCAATGTAAGCTTCCTGTGGATGATCACTAGCAACAAGAGTCAACATCCTCACATAACTCTCCCATTGTTCAGTTTTCATTGACACAAATCTCTCTTGAGAGGAAGAGTCACCAATGATGCCACCAAGGAAACGGCAGCTGGTGACCACCGCAATATTGGAGTCCCGGAAGATATGTCTTGCCTGATCTGTCAAGTGTTCATGTACAATAAGACTGCTCTTCTTAGGCTCGGGGAAATAACCAAATAGAGGACCGATTTCGATTAGTTTATCAAGCCACGAGCGTAAGACAGAGAGATTGCCGAGGGCAGAAGAGTCATCTGCATACCAAAGCTGAGTAAGACCAGATGTATTGGACAGTTTTTGAATAAGTGGTATTGTTCCGATGGCATAAACGAACATAGAGAGGGGATCACCTTGGATGACACCTTCTCTGCTGTAGATAGTCTCATTGCAGCCCTTAAGTATGAGAGACGACCATCCTCTGTATGTGTTGAAGATGTAGCGAGAAGCTCTAGGCCATAAAACACGAACGTTCCAGAGGAGTGACAGTCTGTTGATGGAGTTGAAGGCATTCTTGGCATCCATCACCAACATACCTGTATCATCATCGCTGAACATATCTCTAGCTGTATGAATGGCTCCTTCAATGCCAGATTGTAGTCCAGCACATAATTGGCTGACTCCACAGACAGATTCAGCATTATCTCTGGTTAACATACACACTGTCTTGCCCATGATTCGACGCAAAGTTTCCCCAACTCCAATAGGCCTTATGCCGGGACACTTATCTAGAGCAATCAGTCGGTTGGCAAGAAGAGCTTGTACACTGTCCCATTCAACAAGAGAGTTGGCAAGGTGACGGGTGAGTCCAGCAACTGCATCTCGTAACCGAGCACTATGAGATCCGAAACGTAGGAGAATGTCCTGCCAGTGAGAGGAGTCGCAACCAGTGGGACCTGCACTGCCCTGGATCCGATGAGCAACATTCCCAACATGAGCACCAGTAACATCAACATCTTCTAGTAGTGGGAGAGAGGAGGGCTGTAGTAAAGAGAAGGAGTGAGGAGGATGGGGTTGTGGATGCTTTTGTTTGAGTGCCTCCAGGACTGAGATAGAGGTTGTAGTACTGTTTGTGGTAGATGGCACTTGATCATTTGGAGAGAGAACGGACCCTTTTGAACGATTGGTGAGCCATCTCATTGCAGCCCGGATTTTACCAAGTAGCATGAGCCTGGAGAACACTCTCTTGGTATGTTCATCATGATTCTTGGGACGTCTCCGTGTCTGAAAAGGACGGTCACACCTTATAGCTTCTTGAACAAGAGAATCATGATTATTGAGCTCCCATAGAT